GTGTCATAACCAGTGAAACAAACTTAGCTGGTTTCTTCTTGATCCTCAGACCGCGCCCCAACTCCTCAGCCGGTGTCTCATCCTTACTAACTTCCTTTGTCGCTGCATATATCTCGTCAAGCCCTCGTTCCTTTCCTATCACCATGGCTCCATCCTCTAGCAGCTCATTTAACTCTTTAGCAGCTTCACAAGTAGCGTCACTACCGATCAGTCTCCATGGGTTACCCTCGCCCTCCTGTGCTGTCCCATCACTGCTTTCCACGCGCTCCACATCCTGATTTTCCTCCTCTGTGCCCGTCTCTCTATGCTCTCCTTCGTGGTGCCCTTTGTCCTCCACATCTGCTGCCGCCTCTACAACCTTTTTCTTCTGCGGCTCCGGCCAAAGAGGTTCCTTGGTAGGTTTGTCCGCACCACCTCCTGACTCCTCCTCATCACACCCTATCCCCTCGTTCTCCTTCTCCACTAGCAGCTTCTCCACCTTATCAAGCGCAGCTGCTGCTCCCGTTGCTATCTCCTTGTTCACTCTCTTCCACTGCAGGTAATTAACATCCTCATAGAAGATGACATCCCTGGTCACCACTACCTTGCCCGTCTCCACGTCCTTAATCACCCAGCCCTTGCTCACCTTGCCCATCCCAAGGTTAATCCCCCACTTGCTCCTTGGTAGGAGCTTGTGGTCCGGTCCAACCGGCTCCCTATACTGAGCCATGCAGCCCCACACCCTTGCAAACCCCATGTTCGGCTTCCTCCCATAAAAAGCCTCATGCGGGCTCATGTCTGCTGCAAGGCCTTTGGTAGGCAACCTGTTCTTCACCCAGCTTGCCATCCCCAAGGCATCTCCCCAATACTTCAGTGGAAGACCGCTATCAGCTAGCATGGTCCTCACACTATCCAAGAGTGACCTGTTCACCCTCTCTGCAATGATGTTGTGCTGTGGGGTGTACGGTACCGTCAGCTGCCTTAGTATCCCCTTCGTGCGCAAAAAAATGTTGAACTCCGCATTCACAAACTCCCCACCGTTGTCGGTCCTTAACACCTTCAGCTGCTTCCCACTTTGCCTTCCGGCTTCAGCCATCCAGTCCAAGAAACTGGAAAACACCTCTGTCTTGTCCTTGATTTCTGTCACCCACGTGTGCCTAGTCCCTAGGTCAGTGAAAGTGACGAAGTACCAGCTCCCGTGCCTTGAAGTTTCCCTCAATGGCCCACACACATCAGCTGCCACTATCTCCATTGCACCGTAGGGCTCTTGAACCTGGTGTATGGGATGGGGGGTTTTTGAGATCTTGCCTTCCACACACTTGCCGCACCTCCCCTTACTCCCATCTCCTTCCTTCAGCTCCACACCGGCTGCCATGCCCTTCTTCACTAGCTCCTTAATCCGCTCCATCCCCGCATGTCCTAGCCGCCTATGCAGGGTCTCTAGATCCACTTTTGCAGCTGCTGCCACCATTGCAACAGCTCCCACTGCAACTCCTCTACTGTCACTCCTTTCAGCTTCGCCTTCAACTCCTCCCTCGCCATCACTCCTTCCTTCGGTGGTGGCTGGTAAGTAGCCTTCTCTGCTGCCAAGGCCTTCTCATTCAGCTTCATCTCATACAATCCATCATTCCTCATCCCCTCAGCGATCACATTCCATGCATGGTCAAACACCCACATCTTTCCTTTGTCACTGAAAGTCTTGCACCCGGTGCTGTCCAACTGCGATTGACTAATCAGGTTCAAGGCCAATCCATCCACATACAGCACATTCTCCAACTTCAATTCCCCATACTGCCCTTGCAAAATCAACTCCCCTTCGCCCTTCACAGTCAATTTCCCTTCATCCCCCAAAATCACATACGGCACACTTGATTCCCTCATTCCAGTCAACCACTCACAATGATTCGTCATATGCTGAGTGCACCCGCTGTCCATGAACCACGCACCAGCTCCACCTCCTTTTGCCAGCATGCACACCCCTGATGCGCGCGCCACATTCGCCTTATGTGCGCCACCCAAAATGGCATCTTCCTTATCATTCTCTGCTGCTGTTGGTGCTGCTGCTGCATTTGCTTTTGGAGGTGCTGATCCCTGTTGCTGCAGTCCCCTATAGCTCCGGCTGTTGGGGTTGGAGTAGCAGTCAATCGCCCTATGCCCAATCTTCTTACAATGATGACACGCTCTGCTGAACTTCCCTTTCGGTCCCCTTCCATTTCCTGCACCATTCTGCTGCGCTCCACTCCATCCCGCACCGTTCCCCTTGTAATTTCTGCTTCTCGGGTTCTCCGCACACTCAAACGCTTTGTGTCCCATCTTTCCACACTGGTAGCAAGCTCCCACGCTCCTTCCAGCGGCTGCCGTGTTCACCAACGCAGGTTTCTCCTGTTCCACGCCCTTGGTGAACTTCTCCCTTCGCTTTTGACCATCCCGTGCTCGCTCCAACGCCTGAAGCATGGCAATAAGTTTTGTCATATTTTCCGGTGGGTGGCAGATCAACGCCTGCCGCTCACCCGACCAATCTTCAGGTAGCCCGTTGACGATGTGCCCTATTATCGCCCTTTCAGTTTCCGGCTTGCCCATCGCAGTCAAGTCATCATTGTAGCTCCTCGCCATGTTGACGTAGTCAATAATCTTCTGGTTCGGCTCCATGGTCATCAGCATCAACTTCTTCCTCACATCGGCGATATTCGCGTCCATGTGCCCGAGGTATGTAGACTCCATGTACGCCCATGCCGCTTGTGCAGAGTTCTCAAGCTGTGCAAAACCATCAAGACCCACTGCAATTCCGTCTGCAACAGAGTGACACAACTGGAAAAACGCTAGCTTACTCCGTTTCTTGAATTCCATTTTTCCCTCTTCCGATTTCGCCGCATGCTCGGCTTCGTCGCCTTTCTCGTCCGGTCAGTAATACTCCCACAAGCCGACCTCCTTCGCCCTCCTTATGAATTTCAGTCGCCACGTGCTGTAGTGCTCGCCGTGGAACCGTTGGGCTTCGCTCAGCCCCATGGTGGGCTTGGTCACCACCAGGCCCCAAAATGTCAAGGTAAAATACCTTGATTGACCTGACTGGCGGCCGCTTTTTTTTAGGTTACCCTGACCCAGTCAGGCTCCCGGATTTATTACCCTGACTCATAAAGAGTTTGATTTTTTGTACCCTTATGAATTCCGAGCTATAGATTGTTTCCGTTGACTTTCATCAGTGTTTTAATCGTGTAACACTGATACCGAGTCTTTCGTAGCGAGGATATGGTGGATTTTGCGCTTAGTGGCGCCATCAAGTGGTGCACTCCGCTTATTTCCCACTGCGAGCATTGAACCTGCAACCTTTCCTCTCACTGCTCCACCTCTGACCGAATGAAACACTTCAACTTGCAATATGCTTATTCGTTATAAATATGGACTCTTAAACGGAATCAGAGTACGAAAAAAATGTTACCCTGTTTTCATCAGGGTACGAAAATTTTTACCCTAGGAGTCAGGGTTGGCCCACCCTGGAACTCTGATTTGACAGGGTAGGCCAAAACCAATTTTGGGCCCTGGTCACCACCCCTCCTTGCGCCAGCATTTCCAGAAGTGCCTTCACTTGGGGATCTCCAATACTCACAGAGGAGCCCGAGCTAGCTTCCGATTGTCCGCCGACCATCTCGAAAGCTTCGCTCTGCACTTAAGAATGCTTAAACGCCACTTAAACCAGCTCTGATACCAGTTATCAGGATCGTAAACACCTTAGTCGGCAATAGTCTACTTGCTATCGCTTATCGTGTTCTCCACGATCTCACGAATCCAATGATATGCGCAGCTCTGTTTGAAGTTGTCAATACACACTTCAGCAATTTTCAGAATCTCCAACTGATCAATGCTGTATTTCCAGAATGAGTACAAACAGGTTTATAGTCAAGCAAGACACAAAATGCGATTCGTAACTTCACTTGTTTCCCAAGTAACCGCGTGCGCCTCGTTTCACCCCTAGTCGCGCACGCAACCGAACCGAATTCGGTGAACACTCCTCAAGTCCGAATCTGGAACCTTCTCGAACGCGCCTTGGTCTCAAACCACATTTTTCCCTCGTCAACTTCAATCTCAATGCTTCTTCTCACACATTCCTTCTCGATTTCTCTCTCCCTTCTCACGTCGTAGGCCGATTTCCACCGCTTCTCTCTAGAATAGTCCACACGCTTCCGTCGCCTTCATTTTGCCGTCTCGACCGTATTATGTGCGCCGTCATTAGTGTGGTTCCGCGAACCACTCCAACACTAAGGAGGACAGGTATTTATGTACAGTACCAGAAAAGCCAAAGCATAATTTAAACCTATGGAATTCAGTAACTACAGCGCTGGTTTCGGCTTGGATTGTTCTATCAGCTTCTTCAGCTTCGCCTCTGCTTGACTTGATATCACGCAAAACTGCTTTAGTGGCTCCGGCAGTGAATCGTGTGCACTCCACCACCGCTTATGAGCTGCCTCATTAGTGAAGTCGAAAAATTCGGGTATCAGAATGTTGCAATCAAACTCACTATAGCACCACCATGGCTTCATACCAAGGTAGTGTATTGCGTGGATTTCCGAAGGGTCTTCTGAAAACCACCTGCTTTTCATATAGACGAGTGCTTGCTTCTTCACTGGGTCAGAGGTCCAGACAGGTTTGAAGATGTTTATGGAATCTGGTACGCGGTGCCACCAGGTGAAGACATTGTTCAAGAAGCCCTGGGGGGGGGGGGGGGGGGGGGGGGGGGAAGTGTGAGGGAAATTGGTGGAAAAAAAAAAAACAGTGGAATTGAGGGCCACAGGAACTGACAATCAACTCAGAATGATATACACTTTTGCAGTTTGGATTGCACGAGTGATATCACCTGCAAAAGGGTGCTAGAGAGTCGCATCACATCTTGGTCTCACCTGGCCCCCATCGTCGGCCAATCGCGTTCGTTTCAGCTTCACAACAGCCACTCGAAATAAATAAAATAAAATAAATACCTTTTGAACCTTCACCTGGATTCCGCTGCAAGAGGGTACTAGGGAGTCGCATCACATGACATAACAACATGGTCTCACCTGGTCCCCTCCATTCTCCGATAGCACTCGCTCCAGATTTGCCATCAGCAGCTCAAACATGCAATCCGACGGCTCCAAGACCATCACGCCTGAGTTGAAATCTGTGCCGTCGTTTCCGCGGGCGGAGATCTCGGGGTAGGAGAAGAGAAAGTCAATGCTGTTCAAGAGGAGCAGGTCCGAGTCAATAAAGAGCAGCTTGGTGTACTCCGTCTGCTGCCACAGCCGCAGCTTGCTGGTGGGGGGGGGGGGGGGGGGGGGGGCGGGGGTGGGGGTTGGGGGGGGTTGAAGGGGTGGAGAGAGGGGGAATGGGGAGAAGGGGGGAGTTAGAAGAGTCAACAAGTCAATACGAGTCAGCGTATGTCAGAATGAGTCAACAAGTAAAAAAGAAGACAGTGGCAGAAGTCATCTTAACCCACAGAAGCACAATGATTTATCGATTGAATCAAATTTTGTGCACCTGGCACAAAACAAAAACATTTACTGGTCAGATGAAAATAATAAAGCTAATCGTGATTGAAAAGGAAATAGGTGGGTGAAAGACGCACAAGATTCACCAAGACCAACCACGGATTTTTGCCAATAACAAGCAAACACAAGTTGACCCCCACTTGCTATAAGCACACATACCTCTACCTCCACTCGCTACAAGCACACAAACTTTTAGTTCGGTACAAGCACACGGGCCTGTAGTTCTACTCGATAAATACACACAAACCTGTAATTCCACTCGTTATAAGTCCCATTGAGTGCGTGGGGGTTGCGAATCCTCTCAATCTCCTTCACCGTCCACCCCGCCTCCTTGAGCCCTCGCCTGCTCTCCTCTTGAATCTCCTTCGATACAAGCACAACCATCTCGTGTTTGCTGCCCGTCCTCCTTATGCTTTGCCCCAGTACTATTGCGCCACACACGTAGCGATCCGACGAGTGTAGCACTGTAGCATACGCGACGCGTTGGTTGGCTGGCGGGAGGGAAGAAAGGGACGAACGTGGAAGGAAGGAGTCAATTATGAACGGATAAAAGTACGCTACTGTGCATGCAGCGCAAGAGAGAAACATAATGACAGCTTATGACTCTGGTGACTTTTGAGTCGACTCAAAAGCCACCTCGTTACAATGGCACAAGAGAGAAATACAATGACAACCTATGACTCTGCCACTAACCTCTTGTCTCCTACCTGCCACCTTGCTGTTGATAGGCTGAGCCATGGCGCATGATCCCAGGGGCTGTACACGTGTCAGCATGTCACTGGCCGTCAGGTTGTACAGCCACGTGTCACCCTCCCGCGTCACGAGTCGCGAGCAGTGGAAGAGGTTGGGCGGCGGGCGGCATGCGGAGAGCAACACCACTGGTAACCACGTGCGATTCGCCTGTTACAAGAGTGATAGTACAAGGGGATTGGACGAATAAGGCGGAGGGTAACACTACTGGCAACCACAGGCGGCGAACCTGGAACAGCGGAACCGAGAGAAGGGTTGGCTGAACTTCAGCCAACCCTTATTTACAATTGGGGAAGGATGAGACGACATGAGGACAGTAGCGTCACTGGTTACCACGGGCGATTTGCCACGATACAGGGGGGATGGGAGAGAATGGATGAGACGACACGAGGACAGTAGCGTCACTGGTTACCACGGGCGATTTGCCACGGTACAGGGGGGATGGGAGAGGGAGAATAAATGACACGTGGATAGCAGCACTACTGGTAACCATCCCACGGGTGGCGAGGCTGCTACAAGATCGATGAGGGGGATTGGAATACAGTACCCTTGTGACGAAGCTTGTTATAGTGAGAAGGTTATGTAGCCAGCGAACATCCTTCGCCCAGGAATCGCTAGGCTCGTCGCAGGGCACATGTGCGACAATGGCGTCGATGCTGGTCAGCCAATCTGGATAGTTCAGTTCAGGAATTTTTGGGCAGAATGCGTCAGATTCGTTCACCCAAACAGGGTACACATCGGGCCACGTCAGATTCTCGGGCACACGCGGAACGGGCAGCGAGAGAAGCTTGTAGCGCGTGGCGACGGAGGCGCTGGTGACTGAGGGGTCGACATTGAACGTCGCGACATTGGCGAACGAAAAACGACCTTTTTGTTGGAACGAGACCAGAGTGGCGAATGCGCGATCGAAAGCGACGAGAGGGCTATCCCCTTCAGGCGGCGGGGGCTTAGCAGACGGGGATTCAGCAGGTATGGATACAGCCGGTGGGGAATCAGCAGGTAAGGATAAATCCGGCGGGGCGGATTCAGCAGGTAAGGCTACAGCGGGTGGGGAATCAGCAGGTATGGATACAGCCGCTAATCCTTCCTGGTAAACGCTCCCCGAAATATTAGCACTGAAAGGGCGGAAATCCGCCGCTAACTTAGCATGATTGAATGCACTCATATCGAACCACTCAATAGGCGAGTGCAACGTGGCAGAGTCCTTGAAAAAGTGGAAAGTTACGAGGAGCAGACCGAGCGCCACGACGAAGCAGCGCGCCGCTAAGAATAGCTTATCTTGAGGCGTGAGCTGCGGCAGGGAATTTAAGGAGGTAGTCACTGGGTGATATGTCGAAGGAAGCGCTTCGGCCCCCTTCGGCGCACTATTCGCAGCACCGTTGATCATTGCGAAGCGGGTGATTGAACGGCTCAGTAGCAATCCGTGAGATTATCTTTTGGGAAAAGGACCTAGCACAGAGCATTTGAGCTGAGTCGAGAGTTTTTTGGCTGCTAGCGATGCTACGGCAAAACGCACTCACGACGGCAACCCAGAAGGTAAGGAGTTAGTCACTAGGCACGACACGACTCACGAGTCACGACTCACAACGAAGAGCTTCGTGTTGTGTGTTGGTTGAGCTGGGGTTCACACAAGCACCTTTCGTGTCGTGTTTAGGTTCGGGCGCCTTTTGGTTGGGGCTCGATTTGGGCTCTGATTGGCTGCGAGGTATGACAATGCAGTAGGGCGTAGCAGCGAGGTCTGCGGGTGAGAGCACCTGCTTCTCGTCGTTAGGACGCGTTGAAAGTACAAATATCGCGGGATCGCGAGCAAAAATCGAGCCCCACAATCGAGTGGGCAGATCGATCGGCGAAACATGAAGACCGATACGTTGTAACGATCGCACCTGAGCTTTGTGGTGGATATTCCAGGGCCGAGATTACTGCCCTGCATGCGACTCGCACCCAAAAAATATACGTCGTCCATACCCACCTACGAAACTCGCAGCCAGCAGGGCAACCACCCTGGCGATGTGATGTTTACAGATTTCGCCAAATGTGGACAATTTGGGCGACAGCGATTCCTGGCTCTGCAAAATTTCAGAAAGTCGCAGGCATCAGAATCAATCGCGCCAGGTAGGCTCGGTTCGTTTACATCAATGACGCTTTGATGCTTCTCACTGATCTCCCGCGATCAGTGATCAGTCGCATTCACACACTGTGCACAAATTTTTGGCAAAAAAGCGCAATGTAGCAAGATTACAGCACAGTAAATAGGGTTACAGATCCGCACATCGATCGCGATCCACGATCGATCGTCTACTTTCAACACGTCCTTAGCCGAACTGCAACCTTTTCGCCAAGGATCAACATTCCCAAACCAGCCTGCAAACTTCGGACATAAGGGGCAAGCGCCGCGCATCAACCAGAATCCCTTGCGTGGCACGCTCTCTCGCCTTGAGTGTGATAAGGCTCGGCAAACGCGATACGTCCACTAACAATGCCCGACCACACAAAAATCCGCGACGAGGCTCAACAGGCTTGCGCTTGGCAAACATCCTAGTAACCAGACTTCGCAAGAGCTTACGATCATCGTAAGGCTTCCGCTCGTGCTGAAAAGTCCCCTCGCGAGTGTCACCCTGGTTTGTGTCAATCGCTGGGGTGACATGACGGTGCTTCTGCAAATCCGTCATAGCAACTCCGATATACAGTATCGCGATTTCAAGTGTTTTGTTCACTCTACATAAACGCGTTTAAACCCTTCTCAGTGTCTGTAATCTCTGTGCCTCTGGGTGTTGCTGTTTTTGAGCCTCCAACGCCATTTTCTAAATTCCGAAGCCAAATTCCCGAATCCCGTTGCGCGTGCTTCCACCTGATCTTAGGTGGTAGGATCGAGAGCGACCGGGAGGGTTTGTTTTTCGTTATCTTTGCGATCGATCGTAACGCGGCGATGGCGGCGGCTGCGAAAGTGATTCGACCGATAACGTTCGTGACGGGCAATGCAAAGAAACTGGAGGAGGTGAAGGCGATCTTCGGGTCGTCCGTCGCCCTGCGAAGCCGGAAGATCGATTGTGAGTCGCCCTGCGACGGAATTAGTACCTCTGCGACAGGAATAATATCTCTGCGACAGGAATACAACCTCTGCGACAGGAGTAGTAGCAATGGCTTCGGCAACTGTTCTGCGAAATCAGTTCCTCCTAGCGTGATCGCAGGAGCCTCCCTGCAGCAGCTTCCCGTAGCTTGTACATTCCAGAATTTCCAGGTCCGAGCGGCTTTTTGAGTCGACTCATAGGTCATTGCTTCATAGGTTCTCTTGCGATCCAGACTTTCTGTGTCCACAGCAGCACTGCACGAAGGAGTTATTGCTTCCGCTGTGCTTCTGTGGCCCCTTGCTCGGCTTTTCCTCTCCTGCGTAGCTCCCTCGCAGAGCTACAGGCCAGTGCAGCTCTCTTTTTGAGGCGCCTAAAAGCTCCCTAGCAGAGCTACAGGCCAGTGCAGCTCGCTGCTCAGTATCTCCTCAAAGAGCCTTGCGATCTTTGAGACGTCTCAGAAACGACTCTCTCAAATTCTGTCGAATCCATTTACGTTCCTTTCCCCTGCATACCCTCAGTTTATATTCACGTTCTACACACAATCGTTTCACGCTATCACCATATTCTCTCCACACTTTCACCACACTTGCTCCGCGTTCTCTTCAAACTCTCGTCACTTTCTCTCCACCCTCCCCTCCATGGCAGTACCAGAGCTACAGGGCGAGCCAGAAAACCTTTCTAAGGAGAAGGCCAGACTGATAGCTTCCTCCCCCATTCCGCCGCTCACACTCACTCCACCCTCTCCACCCTCCCCTCCTCTATGGCAGTACCAGAGCTGCAGGGCGAACCGGAAGACATCGCCAAGAAAATTGCCAGGCTCGCTGCTGCTAAGGTCACTATCTCACTCTCACTCCCCACTCTTCTTGCGCTCTCTCCACCCTCCCCTCCTCCATGGCAGTACCAGAGCTACAGGGTGAGCCGGAAGACATCTCCAAGGAGAAGGCCAGGCTCGCTGCAGCTAAGGTAGTTGCCTCCCCCTTCGGCCTCACCGCAATTTGCTTCTCCTTCTCAATATATAACTTGCTCGTTCCCGATGCCTTCTCCCTCCTCATCCAGTTGCATGCTTGGTCCTTTTGATGCTCAACGTTTGTTTGGAGGAGTCTAAAAACTTTCCCGCTTTTGCGTGCACTTTGTTCCGTGTGTTGTGGTAGTCACCCGCGTGTGTGGTGTTTCCTGTCATTGTAGAGTGTTCGTTCGGTGTTTCCCATAATTATAATGTGCATGTGTGGTGTTTCATGTGATTGTGACAGGTGGACGGTCCAGTGCTTGTGGAGGACACGTGCCTGTGCTTCAATGCACTCAACGGCCTGCCAGGTGGGAAGGCGACGGGGGCGGGAGAAAGAGGAGGGGAGAGTGCGGAGGGGGGAGGGGAGAGGGGGAAGGGGAGAAGGGAGGGGGAAGAGGGGGGAGGGAGGGGAGTGGGGAGAGGGTTGAAGAGAAAGGGGAAAGGGTAGATGGAGCGTGAGAGAGTATGTGGTGGGAAAACGTGGGGGAAAGGGGGAGGCAGGAAAGGGGGAGGCAGGAAAGGGGGAGGCAGGAAAGGGGAGAGGAAGGGAGCTTTGAAGCCCTTTGAGTTGGCTTCTGACAAGAGGGAGAGGAAGAGACATTCAACTTCCACAGATTGCATGGGACCACTTGTTGTTTGCTACCTTTCCTGTTTGTTTCCCACTTTCCCTGTTCCTCACCTTGATCGTTTTCCACTCTTATTTTGGCCTCCTTACCTCTCTCATTCGCTCACTTCTTCATGTTTCCCTCTCTTCCTCAACTTGTCTCTCGCGTGTCTACATGTCGATTCGCTCGTGTCGACTGTTGCAGGCCCATACATGTGAGTCACACTATTGGCGAGATGTCTTTTGTGTCAGCTCACATGCTAATTTGCCGAGATGTCTTTTGTGTCAGCTCACATGCTAATTTGCCGAGATGACTTTTGTGTCAGCTCACATGCTAATTTGCCGAGATGTCTTTTGTGTCGGCTCACATGCTAATTTGCCGAGATGCCTTTTGTGTCAGCTCACGTGCTAATTTGCCGAGATGACTTTTGTGTCAGCTCACATGCTAATTTGCCGAGATGTCTTTTGTGTCAGCTCACATGCTAATTTGCCGAGATGCCTTTTCTGCCAGCTCACATGCTAATTTGCCGAGATGTCTTTTGTGTCAGCTCACATGCTAATTTGCCGAGATGTCTTTTGTGTCAGCTCACATGCTAATTTGCCGAGATGCCTTTTGTGTCAGCTCACGTGCTAATTTGCCGAGATGACTTTTGTGTCAGCTCACATGCTAATTTGCCGAGATGTCTTTTGTGTCAGCTCACATGCTAATTTGCCGAGATGCCTTTTGTGTCAGCTCACGTGCTAATTTGCCGAGATGTCTTTTGTGTCAGCTCACATGCTAATTTGCCGAGATGTCTTTTGTGTCAGCTCACATGCTAATTTGCCGAGATGTCTTTTCTGCCAGCTCACATGCTAATTTGCCGAGATGTCTTTTGTGTCAGCTCACATGCTAATTTGCCGAGATGTCTTTTGTGTCAGCTCAAATGTGTTCTCAAGTGCACGGAATTAGCATGTGAGCTGACATATTTTGGATGTCTCAAAATATGTCAGCTCATATGCTAATTCCGTGCATCCAAGAAAGCACGTGTCTCAAGCCACGTGCATGCATGTAAGGCACACACTAGCTTGCTTGTGAGTCAGCGTCGACTGAAAGCAAGCTGCTTTGTCTGCAAGTCACTGCAGTGCTCTCCCCCCGCCTCCGCCCTTCTGTGTTTAGTCTGAAAGCAACTTTGATTATCAAAGCCAGCTGTCGCATTCTGACTATCCGCATCTACTTTCACTTGTGACTGCTTTTCTCAGCCTCTTTTTCTCTCTGATTTATTATGTTTCTGTGTGGGCTGGAGTGCGAGGCGTTTGTGGTGATGTCATGGTGTTGTGCGTGTGGTGCATGTGTCTTGCGCTGATGTTGTGAGTTGACTGCCTGCTTGACGTGATGGTTAATTGAATGGTTGACTGGATGCTTGAGTGAATGCTTTACTGCCTGCCGGACTGCATGGTGGACTGCATGTGTGGCTGCAGAAAGTGGTTTCTGGACAAGACCGGTCATGAGGGTAATGTCTCCAGTCCCATGCCCTCATTCTCTCACTCGTGGTGTTGTGGTTTTGATGTGTACTCGTAGCTTTCACATGCAGTCTGATTTTTTCCCTTGCAGTCAATCTTCTCACAAACATTCACTTGTTCACGTTTTGCCTCAAATTTGAAACGTTTCTTTTCTGCTGTCATGTAATTTAGAAAGTACGACACGGTAAATAATCACAATCGTTGGTTCTATCGCTCACACACGGCCAAGGAGGGCCGACCTGTGTGTACTCTCTCTTTGAACGCTCCCATCGCCCTCTCACCAGGCTTGAACAATCTTCTGGCTGCATATGAGGACAAGTCCCCCCGCCCATGAGGTGTAAATGGATTCAACTATAACTTAACTCGAAATGCACCAAGAGAACTGGCCTGTGTGTGCTCTCTTTGCCCACTCCCACTCTCCTACCACCAGGCCTGAACAACCTCCTGGCAGCATATGAGGACAAGTCCGCCTATGCTCTCTGCATCTTCTCCCTCTGCCTAGGCCCCCAGCATGAACCCCTCAGCTTTGCTGGAAGAACAGAGGTATGGATGAAGGTGTGGCATGCGGTATAGAGGGGTGTAGATGGATACGTCGAGCACAGAGACTGGAGAAAGGGAACACACACACAGTACAGAACTCCGCCTATGCCCTCTGCACCTTCTCCCTCTAACTGGGCCCCCAGCATGAACCTCTACGCTTTGCCTGAAGGTGCCTGAAGGACAGAAGTATGACATACGGTATAAAGGGGTGTGATTGGAGCTATGGCATACCGAGTGTAGACCCCTAGCATGAACCCCTGAGATTTGCTAGAAGGACAGAGATATGGATGTAAGGTATGGCATATGGTGTAGAAGGGTATGGAGGGTGAGGTGTATCATGAGGAACAGAGAGAGGGAAAACCAGACCCAAGTCCACCTATGCACTCCGCATCTTCTCCCTCTGCCTGGGTCCCCAGCATGAATCCTCGATCTTTGCTGGAAGGACAGAGGTAAGGATAGAGGTGTGGCATGTGGTGTAGAGAGGTAAGGATGGAGGTGTGGCATGCGGTGTAGAGAGGTAAGGATGGAGGTGTGGCATATGGTGTAGAGAGGTAAGGAAGGACATGGGGTAGAGAAGTGGTGCAAGCTGCAGGTAGGGACCAAATTGCATTCTGTAGTGTGGCTGCCAAAAGGCAACAGGGGTGAGTCAGTAATGCAAGTTTATCGCACCACACCGCCTTCTGCTCCCCCTCTTCCCTCACCCCCTTTCGTTTTCCCTCCCCCACACACACGCACACACATACACATGCACTCACCTACGCATCTCCACCCACACACCCACATAGATGAAAGATCTTATCTGAATCCTTTGACTTAATCACCAGCCCATATATCGTTACCCTTGCATCCACCAGGGCAAGATAGTCCCTGCAAGAGGCCCTAAGGATTTTGGCTGGGATCCTGTGTTTCAACCTGATGGGTTTGAGCAAACGTGAGTTCTGTCGTAAGTTGATTATTCTATGGTTGCTAAGGGGTATCCATATCCTATTCTATGTTGTGCTTTTGTTGGTTTATGGTTTAATCATACCGTTGTTCATTCACGCTATGTCTTGCCTGTTTTTCACTGTGGCAGTTATGCGGAAATGCCGAAGGAGACCAAGAACGAAATATCACATCGGCGACGGGCACTCGACCTAGTAAGGAAGCACTTTCAAGAAGAGAAATTCGTGTTTGAGGATGTGGACGACGAGCAATCGCAAAAAAAAGCACGGATTGATTCGTAGGTTTGTGTTTCTTTTTTCGTTTTTTTTTTTTTTTTTTTTTAAGTTGGCTGTGTCAGCCAATGTGTAGAAACAAAACAAGACTCGACGTTTAACATCGTATGGGTTGCGTAGGTATACATTTTCAATCTAAAAGTACTAAAATATTATAAGCATAACGAAAATATTATATGATCACAAATGCATATGTTGGTGATTGCTACTTTGGAATAGGTGAATGATTAAACGGGCATTTAACGTGCTACATAAGGGCTTCTGTTTGGAGGGTAAAATAGATACCGTAGATTGTGCTTGCGTGTGCGATTAATGGCGTTTATTTGTAATAGATTTAATAAATCGCACTTGATGTATGAGAAATACAATAGGAAGTTTATATTGAGTATTAGTTTTTTTTTTTCATTTGCAATTAATATGTTGGATTTCGAGCTATAATATGTTAGACATAACCTTTTAGCTATCATTATATGAATATGGTTATAGTGAAACTATCTTAAGGTAAAGTATTTAGATGCACTATATTCAGGACCACACTAGTCTGTTCACTTTGCATGAGTTGTCTTGGAAATGATGAGGTGTCTTAAAGATGATTCATCCAGGAGCAGAATTGTGTCAATCCTGTAAATTTGACGTGGATTTCACGTGAGCCAAATTCTGGAAAAGTAGATTTTTGTAATACAGCCCAAAAGTTACTCAAACCTGCCCAAGCCTCTTAGAAGAAATAAAAGTTAAAAGTTGGCTCGTTTTGCCCCCAAGTTTCATTTCGAATTTGACACATAGAGCAACTTTGAACCGACCTCAGATTTGAAAAGAAATTCTCCGAAGCGGATTCTTTCTTCGAATCCCCTCTCCCCCTTGGAGTCCTTCCTGCCCATCCATCCCTCCCATCTATCGCTTCGCCAGCTAGTACTACTTGTAGATAATTGAGATAAGGACAAAAGAGTATGATTGCACAATAGAATAAGACAAGAGTGAACAGTGGAATTGTAGCAAATGAGGATGAGCTTGATAGAAGAGAAGATGATACTTAGAACTTGTGACTATAAAGAGAGACTTGTGTAAGGTGGAATGCTTGATGAGATAAGAACTCAAAAAAGAGAAAGAGAGTATGAGCTTGTTGAGAGAATAAGAGAGGTGATAAGCACTTACTTAAGTGAATCTTACTAGGGATAGTTGTAGAGGTGACTTGTAGGAATGGCTTGGTCTTGAGAGCTTTACTTGAAGAAGAACATCAAGCTTGGTGTTGGGTGATGATCCTTCCTCAAGCTTGTAGGAAGTAATGAACCTTATACTCAAGTAGAGTATGAGGTGACTACTCTTCACTTGATGCTTAACTTTGTAGACTAATGAGAGACACTTTGTGAGCATAAACTTATATTGAAAGAGGTATAGTACAAGCCTTATAGGTCCATGAGGGATACATAGGCATGCATAGAGAGAGTAACCATCAATGGTAGCCTTGGAAGAGAGTTGCATGAGAGTATCAACTTTTGGAGACATAGAACTTGGTTGCTAGTGAGGAGCCTTTGTAGTAGAAGAGGAGCTTGAAGGAGAAGCTTGGAAATGAGCTTGGTGAAGAAGCTTGGAATGCATTGTTGTCATTGAAGAACCTTCTTGAGAAGTTGTAGAGATGCTTGATGTAGATGAATAGTATTGGAGCATGTGATGGTGGTTGAGCACTTGATGAGTTGGAGATGTAAGCCTTGTTGAGTTGGAAGAGAGCTTAGTGAGTTGGATAAGGATGAGTGGAGGAGATGATGAGCTTTGTTGCCTTGTAATAGGAGGTGATGGGATAATCATGAAGTCCTTAGGGATGAGGTGGCAACTTTGGTGACTTGGGAAAGGAAGGAAGGGAGGAATAAATGAGAGGCATGTGGAGGTTGATGACTAGGAAGTGGAAGCATGTGCTTGAAGGCACATGGGAGGAGGATAATTGGAGGAGGTAGATGACTTGGGTAAACTTTGATGAGTAGGAAAGGAAAGCACATGGAAAATCATGAGGAGTCATGTGCCTTATGGTGGGACTTGAGGATGAGTATGGGAAGTTGGTTTGAATATTGGTTGAGTTGGACTAGGAAAGGCTATGGTGGTTGGGAGTAGTTAAAGAGGTGGTTGATAGGCTTGAGTTGGAGAGGATGAGTTGGAAAAAGGAGTTTGTAACTTGAGTGGTTGGAATAGGCTTTGGAGGAGTTGAGTGGTTTGGATGGGTTCTTGGGAAAATGTGTCGACGGTGTTTTGAGGGGAAGGGGTTGGAGTGGCACAGTAGCGTGGCACGTAAAGAGCGTGCCATTCACAACACTACTCAGATTCAGCTATTGCTCACAGCTAGCAGAGCAATTCTTGACAATCTTTACAAACATCTTGGCAATTATTGACAGTGCCCTTCCAACTACTGATTGACGAATACCACAAGTACAGATTTCAAAGAAAAAATAGTGACAATCTTTTTGGTAAGAAACACCCATGTTTCCTAGGTGCTGGTGCATTGGTTGCTGGCACAAAAGCGCCGGCGATTCGCCATAGCGCGTTGGGCGCTGGCGCCTTGGGCGCTGGCGCCTTGGGCGTTGGCGCTTTGCACTTGCGCCTTTTGGGCGCTGGCGCGTTTGGGCGCTGGCGCCTTTGGGCGCTGGCGCAGTTGGGCGCTGGCGCCTTGCGCAGGCGCCTTTGGGCGCTAGCGCCGTTGCGCTGGCGCCTTTCGGCGCTGGCGAAGTTGAGCGCTGGCGCCTTGCGCGGGCGCCTTTGGGCGCTTCGCCTTGCGCAGGCGCCCTTGGGCGCTGGCTCCTTTTGCTGGCGCCTTAAGGCGCTGAGCATGTGTGCCACAAAATGCTAAGTAGATTAGCGGGAGAAAATGATGGCACCAAACACTAAAATAGCTAAGTATCTATGACTTAATAGCTTGTTTAGCACAGAAGGTTTCGTATTGTATGCCAATCCAAAGGTACGGGGATCGATTCTCAGTAGGCAGGTAAATTTGCTAAAACTTGCGTTTCGTAGGATGCTGTTTAGTTCATACACACGCAGGTTTCAAACTCTTGTCCTTTCGCTTATCAATCGATGAAATCCAGATGCAACTAACAACTGTTCTAATTGGGCATGCCCAAATCAGAGCGCGCTGCTACTCACTCAATAAAATCAGCTGCTCTTATTGGACAACACATGATTTTTTTGGTGTATTATCTGAGTAATCACTATTAAAAGTCTGGTTGGGGACATGGCATTTTTGTGGCCTACCCAAGGAGCCATTCAGGACACACCACATGCCGATAACTTTCACCCTCCCTCCCCCCCTGCCCGTTCCTCACACTCTCCCTCCAGGGATTTAACACACGAGGACTCCTCTTGTCGACGGGGGAGTAGCAACGCGGTGTGCGATCATCGTGGGCACAGGTGAGTCAGAAATTTCAGAGGAATAGAAGATAGGAGATGGGGAGAGAGAAGAAGGGGTCGAATGAGGAGCGAGGGAAGAGATGATGTGTTATGGCAATCCAAACAGGATCTATTGCCCATGCATTCTATTCCTATCGTGATAGTTCACCTCTTTGTCGTTCCCTGTATGGTCACTTTCACTTGGATCTCTTCCTCTATTTTCCTTGCCCTTCTACATCAGGAAAGTTCCTAGCAACCTTGTCCGACTCTCTTCTTCCACTTCTATTTACGGTCACATCCATCATTACCGTGTAAGCCGCGATTGATTATGAAAGCATTCTTGGAATTGTGTCTCCAACGAAGAAGAAAAAATGAACGGGAAATGAAAACAATCTCATATCGTATACCCTCTTCTACGTTTTCTCAGATCATTTCACCTCTTCATACACCTTACCATGTTTTTCTGCCACGAGCCAACACACACACAAGCACGCTCGCACGCTCAGACATACGCACGCATGCGCGCACACACACACACACACACACACACACACACACACACACACACACACACACACACACACACACACACACACACACACACACACACACACACACACACACACACACACACACACACACACACACACACACACACACACACACACACACACACACACACACACACACACACACACACACACACACACACACACACACACACACACACACACACACACACACACACACACACACACACACACACACACACACACACACACACACACACACACACACACACACACACACACACACACACACACACACACACACACACACACACACACCACACACACACACACACACACACACACACACACACACACACACACACACACACACACACACACACACACACACACACACACACACACACACACACACACACACACACACACACACACACACACACACACACACACACACACACACACACACACACACACACACACACACACACACACACACACACACACACACACACACACACACACACACACACACACACACACACACACACACACACACACACACACACACACACACACACACACACACACACACACACACACACACACACACACACACACACACACACACACACACACACACACACACACACACACACACACACACACACACACACACACACACACACACACACACACACACACACACACACACACACACACACACACACACACACACACACACACACACACACACACACACACACACACACACACACACACACACACACACACACACACACACACACACACACACACACA